CTGCTGCTGGGCGGGGCTGGTAGCCGCACCACCTTCCTGATATCGTTCACCTTCCCTTTCTACGGTTCGCTTAGGGCAGCTGGATCGAAGATGGCCCCTTTCCCCACAGCCATAGCACCTTGGGCTGTATCCTTTATTGCGGTCGCGTACTGTAGCTGCTGCAATCTCACTGATGCGATGGGAGCGAAGATCCTGCCGCACGGCTTCCACCTCCAGTGCATGGGCCAAGGCGTCCTTAAGCGTCTCGTGGTGCCCCAGCCTCACAGCAGCTCTGACTTCAAGGTCGCGGATGCCGTCGATGAATGTCTGCACCAGGTTTCCTTCAATGAGCGCAGGTACAGACTGGTATGCTTTTCGAACCATCTTCTCCACCTCAAGGGCCCACAGCTGCAGGTTTTCGTTGCTGCGTTGCACGCGATCTTTAAGCTGCGCGCGAAAGACGTGTTCCAGGTGAGCGTCGCCATATCTCGCCTCCAACGCCTCAAGGAGCTGCTCGTAGGTCACTTTCTTACCGAGAGCTTTCCAACACAGTTAAGGCTTGGTCGCGCAGGCCTAGGGTGAGTGCAGTCATGGCTTGGCTTTTATTCCAGCCGTTCGCCTCCATGACGGCCTCGAACTGGATTTTGTAGGCCGACCAGGAAGAAGTCCCGTCGAACGGCGGCACTTTGAATCCACGTAGCGAAGGTGTTGTAGCTACTACGGGAGCTGTTGTTCCATCCCCTAGTTTGAGGTCGTCCAACATTTTCTTCACGTCAGCCATTACGTTGTCAACCCGATTGTTTACTTGGTCGATTCGGGTTTCAGCTTCCGACAGGCGGTTGTCATGTTGAGCAACCTTATCCTTCACCTCCCGTATCTCTTTTCGGAAGGTAGCGTGAAGGTCCTTCATAAGGAGCATCTGCTCTTCCTTATCGCGTTGGAGTTGCTCTTCTAAACGACGGGCCTGTTCCTCCTGTCCGCCCCGCAGCTGCTCTTCCAATCGGCGGGCCTGTTTCTCATGTCCGCGCTGCAGCTGCTGCAGCATCACCATCAGAGCACCTAAGTCAGGTGCCACAGACGTAGGAGCTGCTGACGGCCCGGCTTCCGTGGCCGGCGGCTGGCCCTCAGACATCTGCGGCGTTGCACCACCAAATCTCCTCTGGTCCGTCTCCTGCTGGCGTTGACTTCGGGTACGGACACCCGCCATCTCCTCCTTAGGTAAAATCGGCATGATTTGATCCCACTTCTGACACCAATTGTTACGAGCTTGAGGTTCGTGACAATAAAAATTGCCGATAAAATTATCTAAATTGACACTTTAATTTTCTTTACACAAATTAAAACTTAAAACACTAATAATTAATCACACTAATTCACTTTATTTCGCTCCGAAGCTTCGCTTGTCTCGCCGAATTTAATACTTCCCCGATCGCATCTTGCAGCGCCTATAAATATAAATTAGCACCGAAATATCCAGAATATTCAAGTAAACACGCGCAATGTACCGAGAGTTCGAGTTTCAACTTCAAGAAGTTTATTCTTCGGTTCGAGACTAGATGGCGCTAGTGCTTAGGCGCGTAACAATATCATTGATATGCAGAAGAAACAGCGTTCGCGATAGCACGCAGCCTTGTGGAACACCAGAATTAATAGGCTTGTAATCGGAGCTTGCACCGTCTACAACGACCTTGATGCTTCGATCTGCAAGAAAGCTGGTGATCCAATCGCACAATTTCCCGGGAAGCCCATAGGAAGACAGCTTCGAAAGGAGCGCTTTGTGCCAAACCCGATTGAAGGCCTTCGCAATGTCCAAACTAACGGCCAATGCCTCCCCCTTGGACCCTACTGCCTCCGCCCATCTATGAGTTAGGTAGACCAGAAGATCACCAGTTAATCGACCCAGACGAAAACCGTATTGGTGATCACTAATCAGCTGGTGATCCTCAAGGTACCTCATGAGCTGGCAGTTGACAATGGAGACTCCGTTGTTTTGGAGAACAAGGAGGTGATGGCGATAGGTCGGTAGTTGGACGGGTGATCCCTCCCCGCATGATCGGTTAAACGTGAACCAAGCCATTCGGCGTGATGGGATCTGCTGTAGCAACGCATTTGTAGCTATTTGGACGTGGTCGAAGAGTCGGTTTTTTCGGTATTACCGCTATGGGACCTATAGAGGCACCCGTAGACCCGCGGATGGTCGTCGCTGTCTACGCGTAACCAAAGGATGGACAGGTCCGAACCTTCAAGACTGCCGAGGCGTCGAGAACAGATGTCCTCTCTGACGTAAACGCAAAATCCAGCCCGAGGCACAAAGGAGTGATCCAGTTTGTACCCCGGGTAGGAGAGATACGAGACATTAGCCGAAGAGGACACCTGCGTCTCGGTCAGAAACTGCAGAGCCGGTCTCGCCGTCTCGAGATGGTAGTGGACGACGTTTAGGTTAGAGTGAAGTCCCCTGATATTGTAGAAATTCACGGATAGTTTGGTTTTGTTGCTCCGTTTGCCCCAAGCAGTTGTAGTCTTATACGCTTGGCAGCCTGATCATCCACGCTCAGGAGTGGAGTAGCTTGTGGAAGCTCAGCGAGGGATTCTCCGGGGGTTCCGGTACCTTCCTGGGGTAGTCTTATCATTTAATTCCGCTACCATGTTGATGCGGAGGGGGGGATTTGGGCCTCCGGCCACCTGTACTCACCAGACGAAACGCGGAAGCAGAGCTTCCACTTCACGCCGGTATTCTATGAGGTCGTGGTAATACCCCGGTTTGAGCCGGCCCATATGTGCAACAGCAAAGCTGCCGCGTGGCTCTACCACTGTTAAAATAGATTTTACGTATTACTGACGTTACATTGAACGAATCTCTAACTAGAACTTGCAGTTTTTCCCGTATACCGTATCTAGCCTGATCGGACAATATTGCAATTTTGTGTTAGAACTGCCTTTTTTCGGAGCTCGCAGAATTTCTGCTCTATGAGGTTTCCTGTGCTTTCTTTAGCACTTGAATTCTGTACTGTTGTTAAAACATTATTGCTGCTTATCTTTTGTGCCGGCCCTTCTGTTTTCTGTGTCTAAGTTGTAGGTAAGATCGATATTTCTTCAATTGAACTGCTCTGCGGATATGTGCTGGTTCCGGTCAGTGATGATGACAAAATTCTTCCCTACGTCCGATGATTTATTCAATAATTTGTTTAAATCAGTGTTCTGTAGGGAAACACCTATCGAGTTATTTGTATTGTTTGTTTTGCGGCTATTGTACATATCGACTTCCCTCTGAAAAACTGTCATAAGACGCTGAAAGCTAGTTTTGAGAAAAAAACGATTTAAATTATTTTTCGATAAATTAATGCTATTGTGACTTTTAGGTTACAAATATTTACCTGTCTACTGTTTTAACTAACAAAGAATTTATCAAGCTATTTGCAAAATATAAGAGTATATTAAAAATTAAATGAAATTTGTTTAAAAAGTAAATAAATTAAAAATTACCTAACTTATGACACTTTTTTACATTATTATGGTAGCAAAATAAAAAAATATCGTAACACAAAAAATATTTTTATTTATGGTTCTTCTTAATATTAAATCTAATCTTTGGAGCAACTTTAGGAACTTTCACAATTACCATAATCAGTCTAAAGGCAAAGTTAAAAAACACACTAAAAATTGTTAATACTTAAAACTTAAAGATTACAAATTTGTGTAAAATTCGCTGTAGAAATTAGGTATGTGATTACTCTGTACCAGACTTAAGAGGTCTCTCTTTTTATTTTCTATAATTTTCGGTTTCGTCCTATAAGCTTTTTTTTAGTGATATTATTTGAACGGGCAATTGCTTTTTTTGTGATTTCTGCTTCTTTAAAATCAATTTCTTTAAAATAATATTTATAGTACACTTTCTTAAATTCGCCCTCAATCACTTTTAAAACCTTTATTTCAGAGGTTTTAAAATTTTTAGAATTGAAACCAATGGTTTCCGATAGGCTTTTCATAGAATAAAATTCTCTGAAAATCATCTCGTTTACTCTATACGGGTTGCCCTTCTTTTTGGCGTTCCTTATAATTTGAGCATATTGGCTCGGAATATAGATGGGGCCGGAGCGGAGGTTCTTTTTGATAGCTTTTTCTGTCACAGAATGTACGCTATCTCCTTCATTTTGTGTATGGCCAGTAATAAGGTATTTATGTGTTATAGATTTAATTTTAGAATGTTTCATCAACGCGTATATATACATGGAAAAAAGAAATTTGTTTTTCTGCTGGCCGCAGCAATTGTCGGAGTAAAATACAAATTCAATACCTGAACCAGCATAATTTTCCATTACTTTGTCAATAAAGTTCAGGACACAAGACCCAATCTCATCTGCCCCTCGATTGGACTCCCCTTCGTGCCAGAGGTAGCATTCGGTGTGATCAGGGGAACCAATTTCACTTATAGTGAAATTGAAGTTATTTAATTTCGATTTATAATAGAATACTGATACATCTCCTCCTGGAGTTTGAAGAACAGACTGAAGGTCATAGACAGCTACGATGTAATCATTGCACGGTTTATTTTTATCACTCTCTTTTTCTATTCTAGATAAATCCTTTTCTTCCTGATGTAACATGTACTTTTCCTGTAGTTCCTCTTTTGCAGATCCAGTTGCATTTTCGTAGCTTACACACAACTCACAACGGTCCTTTTTAGGAGTAAAAAAAACTTATATTAAACTCATAATTAAAATTTTTTGCATACATTTCGTAGTGTGCTGCACTAACTCCTTGCTCCAAACATTGTGCTTTATAGTCTGCATGTAAGTCTGCTAAACATTTACCACCGTCGATATATTCTCGGCTAGAATCTTTCCTGATATAATGGCTTTCAATCCGTGGAATCGAATTTATGTGATCTCTGACTGCTTGCTTAATCGATTCATCGACTTTTTTATGATTGCCATGTTTACCTCTCTTTTCTATGTCAATAAAACCTAGATCTCTTTTCTGAAAAACTGTTCTTATAACGCGATCATTTACATCTAATGTATTCATAAAAACTTCTTACAAACCCGTATCTTTTCATTGTCAAATTCAAAATAATAAGCATTATTATAACCTCGAGGTTTTTCTTTTCCCGAAAAACGGAATGCGGGCACTACAGCTTTGATAGAGATGTTAATAAAGTTTCTTTGAAGGGTAATATCTCCTAATCCCCAATATTTAGCAAAAATCATCTTCCTGCAGTCCTCGTCAATTTTAGTAGAACATTCCATTTTGCATTTATCGCCACAAGGTGGTTTCAAAGAACGTGCAGGTATAATTTTCTTGGTTTTAGATCTGGAAATGTAACATTTGCCAGTATTTCGTAATTTTTTCGCTTTATTACTTAGCCACTCTTCAACTCTTGCAACGCTCTTTCTACTTTTCTTAACATTACTATTTTCTTCTATTTCGTTCATGGAAATATTGTGTTCGACTATTTCTTGGTTTATTGATTCATTCTCATTTTGTACTGCTTCTTGTATTTCTTCGTTATTTGTTTCAGCAGAAGTCTGGATCGAAACTGGTTCCACTTGACCGTTAGTTAGTAATACTTGTACATTATTCGTTATCGCAGTTGACGTAGAAGTGCTCGAAGAACTGCTAGAAGAACTAGATGACCTACTGGAGGAACTAGACTTGTAGTGAGGATCTTTTACTGAATCATCGTCATCTTCCGAATACGATTCATAAGCAGCGGGTGGTGGCTCGGTATATGAAGATTTATTTTCAGGCGGATTGTAACTGCAATGGGCAATAGGCTCAGCTTCTTTCCAAGCTTCAAAAGTTGTAACATTATCTGAATTTTCTGAAATAAAACAAATTCATAAACTAAGCAATAATAATAACTTTCAAATTAAAGTTAACATTAAAAGTTTATATAAATAACTTACTGAAAGATTCTTTGGTATTATCATCCTTATGTTAGGTTAATAATTGCTATTGTTAGATTAATAACCACTATATTATTGTTTATAACGGAATTACTCGATAAGTGATTTGACTTTATATTATAATAATTATTAGTTACTTACATTAATGATTGCGGATAATGGATAGAGTAATATAATGTAACCGGAAGGATAATGTTTTGATTGCTGTAAAAGAGTGGGGCGGAAATGACGCCGCCCCACCTTGCTAACAAGTGCTAAAGGTTGATTAGTAAAATGGAGAGTGGCATTAGCTCAACGGGAATCGTCGCAGTAAGACGTGAAGTGAAGTTGAATTTTGTATAAGTTTAAATTGTAAAGTGAACCAAAGTGTAATAGTTTGAATCTACCGTTTGTTTCCTACCTGGACTCGAGATAGTATTGTAGAAAGTGAAATAAAGTATAATAGTTGGAATCAACCCTTATATTTTCTACCTGATCTTGAAATGGTACAACAGTTCAGAAGTGGGATAAACAAGATACATATCTAATTATCTTGCCACGTGCACCGATCGAATAATGTAAGTATTTTTCGTGTATATAAATTGATATTTCGCATATTTTCCTACTAAGTATAACTGTAATTGTTGATTTTAAAGTTTGAGGAATAATGAAATAGATCATTTATACGATTATTTTTTTTTTTAATATTCTACCGTCTTTTTCGTATAAGTCGTGAAAAAAAAAAAAACGTAATACTGATAATGCAACTCTGTTTCTTTTGATAATACACGACATTATGAAAACGAAATAAATTTGTTAATGTTATAACTATTGCAGTATGATGAATCTGTACCAATAATAAATATAATGATAAAAAAATAACCTACACAGCTTAACTATTTACGGTGCAACTTTTACAATGAAGGTCAGGTTCTAATTATAGAAATAATTTGCTATGTACTTTAAAAGAAAATCTCTGGACAAGTTCTAAGCTTATACCTGTAAGTTTCAGATAATCGGAGCTATTATGGATGATGAATTTGCTCAAGGACAAGAGCAAGGACGGATGACCCGAGGTAAGGGTTGAATGAGATTAGTGATGATGCGATCAGTCGAGGGGAAGGACTGGCGCATCTATCTAATCAAGGAGCACCCAGGATAGTTTGGTCAAGGACAAGACCAAGGACGGATGACCCGAGGTAAGGGTTGAATGAGATTAGTGATGATGCGATCAGTCGAGGGGGAAGGACTGGCGCATCTATCTAATCAAGGAGCACCCAGGATAGTTTGGTCAAGGACAAGACCAAGGACGGATGACCCGAGGTAAGGGTTGAATGAGATTAGTGATGATGCGACCAGTCGAGGGGAAGGACTGGCGCATCTATTTAATCAAGGAGCACCCAGGATAGTTTGCTCAAGAACAAGAGCAAGGACGAATGACACGAGGAAAAGGGTTGAATGAGATTAGTGATGATGCGACCAGTCGAGGGGAAGGACTGACGCATCTATCTAATCAAGGGGTTGATGATGCGACCAGTCGAGGTGAAGGACTGGCGCATCTATCTAATCAAGGAGTTGATGATGTGACCAGTCGAGGTGAAGGACTGGCGCATCTATCTAATCAAGGACTTGATGATGCGACCAGTCAAGGAGAAGGACTGGCGCATCTTTCTAATCAAGGAGCGCCCAGGATAGAGGTGCAAGGACGGAATTTCAGCCCGGTATTGATACAGAAAACTCCCTGCTCGAGGATAGAGCAGGAATTTTCCAAGGATGAGGAAGGACGACCAAGGAAGGGAGTCCAAACATGGTATCAGACTAATGAGTCTGGTAGTGAGGATGGAAATGATGGAAGAGAGAAAAGGGGTAAACGGTCAACTCACCATAGATTGGAATCGAAGAGTAAGAGGAAGCGCGATCATTTGACATCTTCGGAGGATGGCGCCTCACAGCATACTAGGTGTCAGCGGCAAAGGAGTATAAGTAAGGAACCAGGTACTAATATTATCGGATAGGCCTTAACTTGTTTTCAACACTAACGTCATACCGGAATTTGACCCTTTGTCGAAAGAGCAAACTATTTTAACTTGGATAAACAAAGTAGAAGGGTGCGCGGAAATTTATAACTGGGATGAAAAAGAAATTATTCATTATTCATTACCTAAGCTTAGTGGTATTGCCAAGACCTAGTTTCATGGTTTGCCTCCACTATTGTATACATGACCCGAGTGGAAAAAGAACTTGATAGAATCATTGCCCTGTCGCGAAGACTATGCCGAGCTTCTGACTGAAATATTATCTAAATAAGTAAAATACGGCAAGTCATTGGAGCACTACTACTATGCAAAGATCTATTTATTAAATCGCTATAAAATTTTCGGTAGACAAGCTGTGGACTGCCTTCTTTACGGTGTTGAGAATTGTGCTACAAAAGTCGGGGCTCAGGCCGCCCATTTCTCGGAGCTTGAGCAGGTTCTTAAATATTTTAAGACTGTCAAAACAAGCCAAACGCGAACAAGCTTCGACGCACCAATACAAAATCATAGTGATCGTAAGGTTACGCTAGCGTCAAACAGACCCGGGTCGTCTAAATCTGACTCATTCAATAATAATATTAGGTGTTTTAACTGTAGCGATATAGAGCATCCTAGCTTTAGGCGCGATACGCCTCTTACAAAATGCACAGTTTGTGAAAGATTAGGTCATAAATCTAACGATTGTTTTAGAAAGAAATTAGCATCTGAGCCGGGATATAACAGGAATAGTCAAACTTCTAGTAATTCTAAATGTGAGAAACACGTATCGAAAGTAACTTTAGGTGTTTGCCCCTGTGATAAATATATAATCAACATAAAAGTTAACGGATTTTCTACAACCTGTTACGTTGACTTGGGGAGGCAATGTTCTTTAGTTAGGTTAAGTGATGCAGAAACTATGGGACTCGACATTAATTCCCAAACTAAGTTGCCTGTACTAAAAGGGATAGGGTCTAACTTAGTAAGACCATTAGGCGTAGCGCTAGCCTCCGTAACAGTGCAAGGCTTAACGGAGGATATAGAGCTTTACATAGTTGACGATTACGTTCTTAATCACCCAGTTTTGTTGAGGCACTCATTTACAGAAAAATCTGATATTTTGATTATCAAAACTCCTAGTAAATTGATCTTCCAAAGGATAACTCGTAACAAAATTCGTTTATTAACTGAAAACATCGCCAATATTCCTAGTAATGCATTGCAAACGGTGGAAGTATGTGCCAATACGGACATTGATTGTAACATTTGCGTTATCGGATCGCTACGTGGTTCAGCTGGAAAAGTTTTATATTCTACCTGGAGAATACGAAATCAAGAATGGTCGAGGTGTTCTCTTAATATGTAATATATCAACAAATGATATATGCATAGGAAAGAATTCACTTTTAACACGTGCCCTACAGAAACATTTAATGCCTACGGGTTCTACAACTCACGTATTGGATTCGTATAAAGTCACCCTTGATTCAACTGGAATAGATGAAACAATTAACTGTAGTTCTCAACTTACTAATGAACAAACACTTGAGTTACAGAGATTACTTTCGAAATACAAAGAATGTTTCTCAAATGGACTTTATGATCTCGGGTTTACAAATGCTACAGAAATGGTAATTGAGTTGGAAAACTCTGAACCAGTCGTTTACCGTCCCTACCGCATGTTTTATACTGAGCGACAACTAGTAAGGGACATGATAAAAGAGATGGCCGACAGTGGAATCATAAGAGAGTCTTCATCGCCCTATGCCAGCCCAATTGTATTGGTACAAAAGAAGACTGGTGAGAAACGGCTATGTGTCGACTACAGGGCTCTTAACAGAAAGATGAAGGAAACTCATTATCCATTACCTCGAATCGAAGATCAATTAGATTTACTAGCAGGTAATACTTTATTTACATCATTGGATTTGGCTTCTGGCTATTACCAGATACCAATTTCTGAAGAATCTCGAAGCAAGACTGCTTTTGTAACGCCCGATGGGCAGTATGAATTTAATCGTATGCCGTTTGGGTTGGTAAATGCACCATCTGTGTTTCAACGCACCATCAACAATACTTATGGAGGCTAAAAAAAAGGAAAACAAATGCACACGAGCGTCAACTTCACTCATTCGAACTCGAAACTTTAGCAGTGGTTGCGTCATTGAATCGCTTTAGAGTCTATATAGGCCATTGTAACTGATTGTAACGCCTTAGACCACTCTGACTAAACGAGATTTAGTAGCTCGTATTGCGCACTGGTGGATCCAGCTACAAGAATACGACTGCACGATTGAATATCGACCAGGCGCCCGAATGTCTCATGCAGATGCGCTTAGTAGAAACCCGGTGGACTGTTCGTCTGAAGGTATTGCAGATGACCGGCTAATATGGGATGTGTTGGCGATACAGCAAAGTCATTCGGACTGGATAGTTACCGTGCAATCTGCTGATGACGAAATAAAGAAAATAAAGCACATATTAACGGACTCCAAGGCAGACCAATATGTAGACATAATTAAAAACTACAAACTTAAAAATGAGCGCGTCTATCGAATTGTTGGCGATTCACTAAGATGGGTAGTACCTAAGGGAGTACGTTGGCAAATACTCAAAATGAACCACGACGACATCAGGCATTGTGGTTTTGAAAAAAACATTGAAACGAATCCAAGAACATTATTGGTTCGCTAAAATGCGCCGCTTTGTAAAAAAATATGTGACGTCTTGTTTCGAGTGCGCACATCACAAAGCGCCGGGAGGAAAACGTGAAGGAGAGTTACATACAATAAATAAGGTCAGTATTCCCTTCCACACAGTCCACGCAGATCACTTAGGACCCTTTGTGAAAAGTAAGAAAGGGAATAGCTATTTGTTAGTTTTGATTGATGGCTTTACAAAATATATTAACATTACTCCTGTTAAGAATACAAAGTCCGTGACAAGCATACAAGTTATTAAAAACCACATAAGTTACTTCGGCGTACCCACGAGACTGATCACCGATAAGGGAACTAGCTTCACGAGTAAA